TTGCATATATTAAGGGAGGGTGTGTGATGGGACCAAATTTTGGATGTCGAGTTTTCGGTGGGAACACATTTCAATGGGAGTAGAGAGGTGGAACGCATTAGTGGTAGAAAAGCACCATATAAATAAACTATTTTTAGAGAAATGCCGGTCTGTAGGTCGGTCTGTCTTCGACTGTGAGCGGTTTTGATGAAATCTTATATATGAGTTTATTGCTGCTATGTCACGGTTTGACCGACTTTTGGGATATATTTAACTTCAGTAACTAGAGCTTTGTACGGGCCAATTTTACCTTTCTGAACTTATAAAAAGAAGCAATTAACCAATTTTTTTTAAATTTTATTACTTTAAACTTTGAAGTGTTAAAACAATGAATGTATAAAGTTTCTTTGAAAGATCAGGTCTATGGATCGATTTTACATTTTTTACCAAATCTACGGGATAGATTGATGGAATTTCTTAAAACTTAATATTTCAGTTCTGGTTCTTACCGTAACTAACTGGGGAGCTTTTCAGGAAATTCGGATTACGCAAAGCGAAACTGTACTAAGTGACAAATTCATATTTTTCTAGGTATGGTGACTAAAAACATAACGACCGTAACATTCGCCACAATAATTTATCTAAACTAAACAATACACATTGCGGTCGATTATGTGCTGACCACATCAGATTTGTTTTTGTTTTGTATTTACGGTTTTTTTTCATTTTAGATTCAAATAATTTGCATTTCATCATCATAAGGACAAAAATTTCTACCAACAAAACAGTAACATTGATTTCCTTTTTGATATTTTACTTTCTCTTTTAAAATTTTTGTTTTGTTTTTTTGGGTTGATTTCCTTTTTTTTTGTTTCCTTTGAATTTTAAATTGAAAAATAAATTTTTTTAAATTGAAACAGAATGGGACTGCAAATATTAGTCATTAAAAATATTAAAATTTTTTTGTATATTTCTTTAATAAAGGGAAAGAAAAGAATGAAAAACCATGAAAAAATAACAAAGGAAATTCTTTTTTTTGTTCGATTTACTTTCAAAATACTTATATAATATGGTCTTGGGGGTTAAGTCCATATTGTGTACAGTTGTACACATTAAATATGAAAAATAAATCGACATTATCGCAAAATACTCTTTAAATACCCCAAAATAAAAAAAAAATGGTTAAATTTTAAGAATGAAATATTTTTTTTCTAATGATTGTGTTGAAATTTTTAATAAGAACAAGGAAAAAATTTTTTATTACACAAAAGGATCAATTGAAATGGTAAGGAAATGAAAACTTATCGTAAATTTTTCCATACATTGTTAATAAAGCTTAAGTTTGAGTAGTAATGACGATTTAAATGAATGATAGATGCTTTAAGGTATAGAAGAGTAAGGTGAGTTTAATATTTTTACGGAATTTTAATGAGAAAATAAAATTTTTGGAAATATATTCACTACTTTATTGCTCTATATTCCATACGCTTATTTACTTAATGAGATTTATACTTTATTTCGCACTCTCTAAGGTACTGTTTACATATACGACAAAATCTAAGAATACCACTACGATAAAGTCTGATGACTGCTCACGTATCAGACTGAAATTATCTGATAGAATTCATAATTTAATCAATTCATGATGGTCACAAAATTTGACAATTTGCTACGACAATTGCAAGATAAATAAATATCATCCGATTCCTACTCAAAACTTTTAAAAAAATAATTTGTCACCATCTTAGTTTTAAAAAATTTGGCAGTAATTCTCATGAGAATAGCGTAATTTCTATTACTTTCGGTCAGACAAAGTCTGATATCAAATTTACATGTTATATAGACTAAATAATAAATCTTATATTTTGTCGTACATTTGTCGTATATGAACAGTACTTTAAGTTTTATACGACACTGAATTTAAGATCTAATGATAAGATTTTGAGAAAGAAAACATTTTGGTGAGAGAATCATTTCTTATGAAGAATAGAATTGCTTCTAGCATTAAGATTATTTCTTCAACCCTTCATAGCATTAAGATTTTATAAAGTGAAATGTGCTTCTTTGATTTGTAAATCAATTTTTCATTGTTCCAGGTATGTTTTTTGATATTGTGGTGACCAATGCAAATTTTAAATCTAAAAAATATTAGAAATTAATGTTTTGCGTATAATTTTTTCAATCCAATTTTTTTTAATAATTTTTTTATTAAATGCAATGAATTGTACAAAATGTAAATGATTTATTTTATATATACCCAATTCCAATTGAATGATTTAAGAAACACACAAAAAATATTAAATTGAAATCAAAATTAATAAAATTTTTATTATTTTGCAATTCTATAATAAAATTATTGGGTGGAATAGTAAGTTAATTGATTCTATAAATTGTTATAAATTTTGATGATTAATAAGCGTATAATGAACAAATTTTGTGCAGATTGTACTTTTGATTACTATATAAAGTAAAAATTTGTACGGCAAAATTTATTTGAATTTTATGACAGAAGAATAATTTAGGACATACATATTGTCATTCATTGAAATTGAATGAATTCAAAAATATTATAAAAGTCGTCAATTAAATATTTTAGTTAAAATTATAATTGATTCCACTCCTAAATTTTTCATAATTAATTTCCTCCATTTCCATAATAATTCCCAAATTCGAACTTCTTTCAATTCATTTTAAAATCAAAATATTAATTGTAGTGAAAAACTAGTCAGCTGATTTTCCTCTTGTCGTATGTAAAATTTTTTTATCGTTTTGACAAGAAAACAATTCCAAAGATTTTGAAGTTTATTCTTTCGTTTACTTCGTCCCCTTTTTCAAATTAATAAACAGTTGTTTTTCAAAACGGTATAATTAATTCAGTCCACTACAAATAAAATTACTGGTAAATGGGAAATTTCAAGCTCAAATTTCCAAAATTGAACGTTTAATTTTTTGAAAAAATAAGAATGAATAACTGGAATTCCGTTTAATTCTTCTCAATTTGAAAAAATTATGAATTTAAATTAGGAAATGTGATTTTGCAGGAAAATTTCTGTTGACTTTAACACCTTGTTCCCAAATTTTTAAAGCAATTTTTTAAAATTTGTTGAAATTTTGTTAAAATTTGAAATAATTTTTTTTTTCTTTTTCGGCTTCTAAAAAATCGAATTCTGCTCAACATAACTTTCTTTGGTTTAAGTATGAAAAATTTTTAATAAGTTACAATACTAAAAGCTGTCTTTTTTTCTAAGTAATGAGATCTTTCTTTTTGTTAATGTGCTGGAATCAACCTAAACTATATGAGCTATAATTTTCAAGTTCCTCCATATTATTTAATATGATTTTCGGTAGTACTTAATATAATTTATTTAACGTATTAATCGTATTTACCTGACCATTGGTGCAGTGGTTATGGCACCGGCCCTTTAACCGAAGGGTCTCGGGTTCAAACCCCGGTCAGGTCACTATAAAAATTATATTCAATATTATATAATTTAATATGCAATACTAATAAATATTATACAAGTAATTTTCATATATTCATAATATTCGATACTAAAGACTAAGAAAAATAAACAGTAAATATTAATAATAAACCGATATATTTTCAATATAAATAAAAACTACGGTAGGCTAATCACCTACCTAGCTAACTCTCTATGACTATAGAAATTAGGGTATGATAAACTATAGAAACTAGGCCAAGATGCGTAAAAAGGCGGCAATGGAAGCAAGGCTCATTTAAAGCCTTTGTCTAAAGGGCCAAAGCCCATAGACAAGAGCCGGAAGAAATGATATGGCTGTGAGGTGCATCCAAATAAATCTACAGCATGCTAGGGCATCTACTGATGTTCTAGCTCATAGATTTATGATTACCTCGATATCGCCCTTATCCAAGAGCCTTACATAGTGAAGGATCAGGTTAAGGGCCTAACAGGTGAGCTATTGTATGATAATACAATTGGGGGCAGGCCTAGGGCTTGCATTTTGTTTAGTAAAAGGCTAACGTATTTTCCCATTCCAGATTACTGTTCTAAGGATCAGGTAGCTGCGTTGGTGAAGGTGAAGTCTTCCGGAGGACATTGTGTGCTCATTGTGTGCTCAACAGAGTTCATTGTGTGCTCATCCTACCTCCCGGGAGATTGTGCCCACCCGGACGAGCAACTGAAGGATCTAGTGGACTTTTGTTGAAGGAGGAACTTCCAACTTATAATAGGAAGTGATGCCAATGCCCACCACACCGTCTGGGGAAACAGTAATATAAACAAAAGAGGTGAGTGCCTACTTGAATTTATATATAGCAATAAATTAATGGTTATGAATGAGGGTAATAGACCGACATTCATAAATGCAATTAGGAAAGAGGTCCTTGACATCACCCTTTGCACTGAGTTTATCGGCAATAGGGTTGGTGGATGGTATGTCTCAAATGAGACAGCCATGTCCGATCATAGGTAGATTAGGTTTGATATCACGGTCTCCTGGGGCCTGGCAGAAGAAATGTATCGGGTACCCCAATCCACGTGGCCCCGGTAGCCGAGTGGTAAAGCACTCACCTGTAGCATGTTCACGACCGGGGAAACGTGGGTTCAAATCCCACGGGTGCCGCATTAAATACCTGAAAGTATTTCCACCACAGCGACACCAATATAGCCTATATTCCAATATTAGTATAATTTAATACAAAATAATTACCATATAACCTCCAATATCCAAATATTATAGCCTCCAAATAAATAATATAAAAAAAAAAAAATTATATCCTACAATAACCTAATATAAAATATGAACTAAATAATAAAATATCCGGCTGTCAATGATGACACTTGTCACCTGAGACACATGACGCTGACAACCCAATAAACATCACGACTTAACGTCAGAATAAGTTAAGGGCTGTACAGACTTCCCGCCACGACATCTTGCGGAAAAATTTCTGACTCGTCCCTCTGCAGGGCGATAAAATCAACTCGATTATGTAGATAGCTACGGTAGGCTAGTCACCCGCCTAGTGAAATTCAAAAATGACTCATGAAACCGCAACATTGCCTCGGATTAACACTGTTGATAACTTGGTAACGAACTTTGGAACGCATATACGGACTCGAATTGGACAATGGAATGTACGAACTATGATGGAATCGTCAAGATTGGCGCAAATAGAATCAGAAATGAAAAGGTACAGGGTGAAAATACTGGGTGTTAGTGAAACTAGATGGCCTGGTTTAAATGAGATAACAACAGCAAAAGGCAACAAATTCATATACTCCGGAAATAATAATGGCGGCTCTAATGGTGTGGGAATGATAATAGATAAATCAATAAGTAGTAGCATGATGAGTTGGAAAGCTGTCTCTGATAGAATAATCTTGGTCAGATTCTACTCTAGAATAAGGAAAATTACAATTATACAGTGCTATGCTCCCACCGAAACAGCTAATGACGAACTCAAGGATGAATTCTACTCCCAGCTTACGTCGGTCATAAGTAATATACCGAGAACTGACATCATAATACTTATGGGTGACCTAAATGCAAAAATTGGTACTAGGATGCAGGGTGATCCGCAAGAAATCATTGGCTCACACGGCATTGGCTCAAGAAACAACAATGGAAGCCGGCTGCTTGACTTATGTACAGAATTCAATCTGGCCGTGGGCGGAACCCTCTTCCCACACAAAAATATACATAAATATACTTGGGAATCACCGAATGGTCACACAAGAAATCAAATAGACCACATATGTATTAACACAACCTGGAAACGATCATTGTTGGATGTCAGATCACGAAGGGGAGCAGACATACATAGTGACCACATGCTTGTCACCGCAGATGTCAGACTGAAACCAAGCACCATAAGATACGCGGCACAAAGAAGAAGAGGCAAACTACGTGTAGCAGCACTGAAAAATGAAAATACAAAGCGGGAATTTGTATCAAAAATACAAGAATTATCTACACGTCAGTTGGGCCCCAGTGATATACAATCATGTATAAGGCAAATTGGCGAAGAGACACTGGGGACTGTAAGAACAGAAAGAAAGGCTTGGATTTCTGATGATACATGGGCAAAAATAGAAAGACGGAGAAACCTGAAAACCACGCTTCTAACGCGCCCAACGCCTGAACTAAGAGCAGAATACAATAATGTGGCAAAGCAAGTTAAGAGGTCTGCCAAAAATGACAAACGGAGGTACTACAACACCCTAGCCTCACAAGCACAGGCGGCAGCCGAGCGTAACGACATGCGCACCCTGTACAACAAAATAAGAACGATAACAAAATGTAACACCAAAAATAACCGGCCAATCAATGACAAAAATGGATGTATGTTAACATCAAGAACTGAGCAACTTCATCGCTGGAGGGAGCACTTTCAAGAATCTGGTGCCACGGCCCTGCAACATACTGAAACAGACCAGAACACATCGTATACCCAAAATTCAAGAATAAGCATAAGCCCACCCACACAGAATGAAATATCGGATGCACTTAAAAGATTGAAACAAGGTAGGGCAGAAGGTCCTGATGGCATCCCTGCAGAGTTGCTGCAAGCCGATACCAGGAGTGCAGTAGCAATACTTCACCCAATTCTGCAGAGTGTGTGGGAAGACGAAATAATACCAACCTCATGGAAACAGGGTATAATTGTGAAGTTGCCGAAAAGGGGTGACCTCAGAGAGTGTTCTAACTGGAGGGGAATCACCGTGCAGAACTCAGTAAATAAGGTTCTGGCACTTGTAATCCTCGCAAGAATTGAGGACAAGCTAGAAGAAACATTACGAGAAGAACAGGCCGGATTTAGAAGGCAAAGAGGCTGCATTGACCAGTCAAACACTCTCAGACTAATAGTGGAACAATCAGTAGAATGGAGGTCACCCCTATTCATTCATAACATTCGTCGATTTCGAGAGGGCATTTGACACTGTTAGACGCGCAAGCATTTGGGGGGCATTAGCTAATAGAGGAGTACCACAAAAAATCATCAAGATCATACGGGCTCTGTACGATGAGTCAGAAGTCAGAATCCTGCACAATAATGAACTCAGTGATCCATTTGAAATAGAAACTGGAGTAAAACAGGGATGCCCTCTCTCCCCCCTACTGTTCAATGTGGTTCTGGACGAAGTTATGCGTAAAGTAACATCCACCCCTAAAGGCATACAATGGAACCTAATGACCCGTCTTGAGGCCCTAGAATATGCAGATGACATTGCCCTGTTGGCCCACACATATACAGACATGCAAACTAAACTCAACAATTTGTGTAGTAAGGCAGCAGAAGTGGGGCTCAAAATAAATGTCAATAAAACCAAATCGCTCCGCATAAACACAACGAATATAGTCCCGTTTGACGTCAACTCAAGACCAATAGACGATGTAGCAAGTTTCAACTACCTTGGCAGCATAATAACCACATCAGGAGGCGCCAAAGAAGACATAGAAAATAGGTTGAAACTGGCAAGGATGGCGTTTGGTAGATTATGGGCGATTTGGAGGTCATCACATATAACAAGGGCAACAAAGTTGGCAATATTCAACGCCTGTGTGAAATCGGTCCTCTTATATGGCTCAGAAACCTGGCTGGCCCAGAAAGACACAACAAACAAACTTCAGGTCTTCGTAAACAGGTGTTTAAGGGCCATTTGCAAGATATACTGGCCCCAACGTATAAGTAATATCAACTTGTGGGCCCTAACCAAACAAGAGGATATAGCGACGGCCATAAAGAGAAGAAAATGGGGTTGGATTGGACATACCTTGAGGCGTCCACCTGAAGCAATTGCCAGACAAGCACTAGAATGGAACCCTCAAGGAAAAAGAGGTGTTGGGCGCCCCAAAAATACATGGCGCAGAACCGTCGACAAAGAAACAAGTTACACATGGGCAGAAATCAAGAACATGGCCCACAACAGAGTGCGATGGCGAAGCTTTGTAGCGGCCCTATGCTCCCGCGAGGAGTGAAGAAGGAAAAAAAAAAAAAAAAAAAAAACCCCAATCCACAGATTGGATTCGAAACGCTCCTCATGGATGGGATTGGATCCGTTCCTGCTTCTGTCAGAACGGTGATACATATCGAACTGGCCAACGAGGCTCTGACGGCGGCTATTACAAGTGCCTACCACGGGAGGCGGCGCAAGTGCCCGTGGTGGAATGAAGAGCTTTCAAGGCTTAGACTAAAGACCAGAAAGCTATTCAATAGGGCCAAGGCGTCGGGTTCGTGGGAAGAGTATAAAGACTCACTCACGAGATGCAATAAAGAAATTAGGAAAGCGAAGAGAATTTCGTGGAGGGTGTTCTGCAAGGGCATTGATGAACTCTCTAGCAGTGCGCGTCTTCACAGGGTGCTTTCCAAAAAGTATACAGGCGTGTTGGGCCTAATGGAACGTCCTGATGGCTCCATGACTGAGAACGGAAAGCAGACGTTGGAGCTTATGGCGTCAACGCACTTTCCTGACTCGGAGATTCTTCGGAATCACTCAAATGCGGTCATTGAACCGAGGGCATCCTGGCCCAGGAGGGATGACTGGCAACGATCCCGTCTGGTCTTCACGATGGGCAGGATTAGATGGGCTGTTTCTCTTTCAGGTCCTTCAAATCTCCAGGTGATGACGGGACATATCCTGCATTTTTGCAGACGGGTTCCAACATATCGCCAGAGCACTGTTGGAAATTTTTCGTGCCAGCTATGCGTGGGGTTACATCCCTCAGACATGGAGGGTGGCTAAAGTGACGTATATTCCGAAGGCAGGTAAGCGACCAAGCAACCACCCAAGGTCTTTCCGTCTAATCAGCCTTACTTCTTTTCTATTGAAAGCAATGGAAAAAGTGATTGATAGATTTATTCGGGACGATGCATTGGGAAGTAAGCCCTTGCATGAATCTCAGTTCGCCTATCAGTCAGGAAGGTCTACTGTACTCGCTCTGAAGAGTCTGGTGGGGGTCCTTGAAAACTCACTGGAGGTGCGGGAGGTGGCAGTTGGCTGCTTCCTTGATATAGGGGGAGCTTTTGACAACATCCCATACCATGTTATCTGTGAGTCGTTGCATAAACGAGGGATTGATGCGACGACTAGCAGATGGGTCAATCGGATGCTACAGGATAGGATTATTAAGTCCACCATAGCTGACGATATACTCTTCATCTCCGCTGCAAAAGGGTGTCCGTAGGGTGGGGTTCTTTTGTCCCTCCTGTGGTGCATTGTAGTGGATGATCTAATCGCTGCTCTCAGGGGCTCCGGGGCACGGGTCTGGGGATACGCCGACGATGTGGCCTTCGTCGTACTGGGAAAATTTGAGAGCACTATTTCTGAACTTCTACAGCAAAATTTAAGTGTTGTGGAGGGATGGTGCAAAGGCGTTGGGTTAAATATAAATCCAAGCAAGAGCACTTTGGTCGCCTTCACCAGACGCAGAAGCAGGGATAGATTAACAAGCCCAATTCTGTTTGGTGAACGTATTAGTTACTCTAGGGAGGTGAAGTATGTGGGGGTAACCCTGGATGATCGTCTCTCTTGGAATACCCATATAGATAGAGTTATCGGGAGAGCTACGGCGGCCTTGTGGACGTGTAGGAGCTTCATCGAGGGGACCTGGGGAATTAGTCTCAGAATAGCACTGTGGCTATATGCAGCCCTTGCTAGGCCCATCTTCACCTATGCGTCGATTGTATGGTGCCGTAAGGCTCAGCAGGCGGGTGTGCGGGCCAAGCTGGAAAAGCTGCAGAGGCTGGCCTGCCTGGGAGTGACTGGGGCAATGCGAACGCCTCCCACCGCTGCATTGGAGGTGATGATCGGATAGCCGCCACTGCACCTCCATATATTAAAGGAAGCTCGGCTAGTGACCTACCGACTTCTCTCTGGCGAGGACAGGGCAGGGCTAAAGTTGGCCCACGGGACTCACAGAGACTTCATTGAGAGCGATCCGATTCTAAGAATAGCCATGTCGGATACCCGTCTGCCGCGGTACAACTTCGACCACAGGCACAGGGTTCTGTTTCCCGATCGATGGACGTGGGATCGGGATGGCCCGGTACTTGAGTCGGGTTCGAGCTTGTGGTATTCGGACGGGTCCAAAACGGTGTCGGGGGTGGGTTCGGGTGTATACGGTGTCCGCCCGGACACGCGTGTATATGCAACCCTTGAACCGTATTGCACAGTGTTCCAGGCCGAAATAAATGCAATAGAGATCTGTCTGAGAATCAATTTAGAAAGGGGGTATAGAAACCGCACCATCTATGTGTTCTCGGACAGCAGGACTGCGCTGCTGGCGCTTCGTTGAGCTCAGGTTACATCCAAGCTGGTCTGGGGCTGCCTTGCTGCACTTATGGAATTGGCATCGGAGAACAGAGTGACGCTCATTTGGGTGCCGGGCCATAGTGGCCATGCGGGCAACGAAATTGCCGATGGGCTGGCGCGGAGGGGATCTGGAGCTGACTTTGTGCAGCCGCTACCATTCTGCGGTCTGCCTTCTTCCGCCGTGGGAGCCAGGCTTGCCTGCCTGTTCGCGGCGGAATGCGGCCGTCACTGGCGGGACACGGAAGGGTGCCGTCATGCGAAAGTATTTCTTTCGGCGTGCTCCAGCGGATTCACCGCAGAGTTGCTGGGGATGAGCAGGAGCCGGGTTCGCACTATTGCGAATTTTTTCACGGAGCACTGCCCAGTGAAGTACCACCTGCATGGGCTGGGGAAGTCGGGCTCCCCCCTGTGCAGATTTTGTGGGGGTGGCGATGAGACCGCCGTGCACATTCTCTGCGACTGTCCGGCACTGGGTGTTCGGCGCCGCAATTTTCTTGGACATGGGTACCTAAGTGTTCGGGAACTGGTGTCCAACTCCCTTAGGGATATCTCCGGCTTCGTGGCTGGGACGGGGATATTATAGGCGGGGGCGTGGGGGGGCTACAGTAAGTCAAATAAGCTGCTGTGGCTTGGGGGGTTACTCCTGTCCCACGCGGTTCCCTTGGAATCTACAATCAAATCTAGGGCATGATAGATATCTCTAAAACTCGATTTGTACATTTATACGAGTAAAATTACAATTTATTTTTCAAAAGCCCTTACTTAAATATTAAGAATATTTTTTCCATCTTATAGTATGTATTGCTACTTCTCATACTTGGAAATGCAGAACGAACTTTTTTTTCTGGTCAATTTATTTCAAGTATTTAGGTAAGACGTTAATTTTTAATAATATTATTTTAATTTTAATAATAGGTGGTACTTCTTGTATGAATTATATAAATTTCTTATGAAAATTTTGAAATTTTTTATAACACTATTATTTGCATGTCCTCTTAACTCTCATTCCATTACTTTTAATGCATTTGCACAAGTTCTTAACATTAAAGTAAATTAAAAATTTTATTTTTATACCTAAAAATAACTTTTATCATAAAACTAAGGCATAATATTGAATTTTTAATTATAAACTTATATTAATTGGCCTATATATCTATATAGAAATAAATTATATAGAATCTATATATAGAATCGCCTATGTATGAAAATAAATTTGAAAAAATTAGGATGAAAAGTTTTGTTTTTCCCAAAAAAAAATAAAACAAGCAAACAAACATAACCTAAATTTTAAATTATGTCTAAGAATTTTCCAGATTTTTGAATATAAAAATGAAAATTAAATATGAAAATAAATTTCTCACATTTTTATATTTAGGCGTAAAATCATAATGAATGCAAAAACAACACCAAAAACAATGAAAAATTCACATATAACATGTTGTTTCCAAAAAACAAAATTTTTTTTTTTTTTTGCATTATAATAACAATATTTTGTCTCATTTTATAAAATATTTACATAATATTTTTGTGTCATTATATCAAAATGACTAAACAAAATGAGTTTAAGGACCCAAAAGAAAATAATGTATATATATATATATATATATGAATATAAAATGACTTGC